TATGATATGGTGAAAATTTCTAAATATTCTTATTAATTTTATAATATAATCTCATTAATACTTGTTTTACAAATGACAAATCTAATCCTAACTAAAGTAATATTAGACTTATCAATCATTTTTTTGTCGCAACGAAAATCAATTTGACACTTAAAATATATAACATTTGCATATATTTTAATCAATTTAATACATCCTCTATATATTAATAGATGAGACACTATATGAAAAATTTTAAGTGTCATCCAAAGAGGATTTTAAAGAACTCTTAAAAAAAACTATTAAAAAATATTTTAACCCAATTACCCTGTCTAGAATAACCCAACTATATTTTAGCTCAATTACCCACTAAATTTATATCATATATACAATATATAATCATTAAACGAATATGAAAGCAATAAATATGTGGTAATTACTATGAAATATTTTATTTAAAGAATATAGAGGATATGTGATATTATCTTATTTCTTTTTCAATACGACTAACTATTAGATTTTTTTACTAGCGTCAAACACATGATTAGAATATTCAAAAACAAAAATTCTTTTTTAATACACGGGAGAAAGTAAAAATAACAAAGATCAAATGGTATATATCTCGCATATTTTATCTTACAAAACTTAATTTACATGACACTTAGTTACATGTGGAGTATTTTTTAGATGCCACTTTTCAAAATGACATTTTTGAAATGAGGCTAAAGTGGCAATTAATTTTTGAAATGTTTTTGTTGGTTAATTTAAATGAAATTTTTTTAAATGCCACTTTTCAAAAATACAATCATTTTGATTTTTTTTCTTTCAAAGGTGTGGTCACTAATTCTCTATATATTAATTGAGTAGATATTTGATGAAAAAATCATATGTGTTATTCAATGAAGTTTTTAAGGAACATGTCATTTAAATTAACTAACGAAAACATTTCTATTAAAATTATATGTCATGGTAGAAATCTCTATATGTTTTTATTAATTATATAACATAAATTCATTAATACATGTTTTACAAATTCAAGTTTAACTAAATGTAATATTTAGACTTATCATATCATCTATTTAAAAAAATAATATATTAAGAAGCTTTTCATTATTATATTGGGCACGTATGCGATTGTGGCTGATATTTATTTGTAGATGATAACTACACTACAAATATTTTTATATTTTATTATTGGAAAACATATATTTTTCGTTTGTTATGCTCGATAAATTCATGTAAATCTAAATATTTATTTGATTTATCGCATGTTCTATAATTTACACAAATAATAAAAATCAATTTTACACTTCAAATCAATTGAAATAAATAACATTTACATCAATTTTAGTATTTTTATGCAAAGTTGATCAAAACATATGACATTAGAATATGTTTGATCAAAATTTAACTTTATTATATTTATGCACAGTACATATAATTTTGTACGTTTATAAATATTAGAATATAAGTCTAAATATTAAGATCGATTAAAAGTATTTAATCCCATATTTGACATGGGTCAAAATCTAGTACGCATTAATTTTGGAGAACAAAGAGATAATTATATTGATGGGAATAAAGTCGGTTTTGAGTTTTAAAAGATGGCAAATTAGAGAGAACAAAAATGTTTTATATATTCTCATAAAAGATACGACCGGCTCTATTTTTAAAAGATTGCAATCCATATTTGATCCGTTTGGACTTGAAACGAGTTCTATCCGGAGGAATAGTCACAAAAGTATATTGTTTTTCATCAGGAAATAATTGATCGACAAGAATTGATTAGAATAATCCTTCTAACCGGGGCTCACTTGGTTATCTAGATTCTAAAGAGAAACATCAACCATTGACTTGATACTTTTGAGTAATGAGACAAGACAAAATGAGAGGAAGAGAGAAGGGGACATGCTACTGACACTTACAAAAAATGACAAACCTAAAATATATGTGATTAGTGAATCATACGTTAACTAGATTTTGCCCCACACCAAACGTGAGATTAAAATATTAAATATGTTTTAATCAATTTTAATATTTAAAAATGTATGACAAAATATATGATTTCTAATATTTATAAACTTACAAAAATAATATGCATTGTGCATAAATGTAATCGTTAAATTTTGATCAAGCATATTTTAATGCCATTAGTTTTCATATTTTTAAGTGAAAAATTGATCAAAACATATGAAAATGTTATTTCTTTCAGTATATTTTAAGTGTAAAATTAATTTTTATCATTTTGTAAATTATAGAGTATGCGATAAATCATATAACTTTTAGATTTATATGAATTTATCGGACATAACAAACGAAAAAGAATATGTTTTCCAATAATGAAATGTGTAAATGTTTGTAAGTGTAGT